TTTAGAAGTAAGTCACCCTTTTGAAATATACACTTGCTACTTACTGTAAAATTTTAGATATGATATTCAGGTACCAATGATACAATGATACCAGTGAGGTACGCACTATACTGGAGTTTATTAATAGAATACTTCAAAAAGTTAAAGTCAGTAGTTCTAAACATCACTAAATACTCATTTAATTTAGCTAAAGGAAAGTTATCTCTAAACCTTCATTGATTTTTGGCAATAATACTTCTGAGAACTGTACATACTGTAGACTGCATCTACATTTGTAAACTCCTGCTTTTCTTTAGCATTCCCTCTTAATAAAGGAATACAAGTGAAAACAGAAGCAAAGCCATAGATGTGGAAAATGTCAAAATCGACAGCAGTGATAATTTAATTATTGTGTAAGAAATGCACAAACTGTCAATAGGTACAGTAGCACGATGCCAATAAATGTGATGCATGCTCTGGGATGTGCCTCAAAAACATCTTTTGTGACTTAACATGAAGATGTTTGTGACAGGATGTTGCTGTTCCAGACTCTTTCCAGAAAAGAACAGACTAGAAATGTTCTGGGGTATAAGGGAATGTTCTACATTAAAAGGATGAAAGGCTGAGGGAACCTGTTCCAGATATTGAAAATCAAATGACACAGTCAACCCAAAATGAATGGGGAAACACAAAGCAGAGAACACAAGGGTAATCTGTGTGGAAGTGCATTTAAAACCAAGAATAGGAGGCATTTCTTTACACAAATAGTTGTGGAAGTATAAAACAAGCTACCCGGCTATTTTATAAGCCTACTGTAAATATTGGTTTCATTGAAGAAACTGGATTCTTGGATCAATTAACTACACACAGCCAAATGGAATAGAGGGCTGAACAACCTACTGTCATTTGTTACCTTTCTTATGTTTCTTATGGAAGCAGCCCAGCCTTTGCATATGCACTGGAGTACACCAAGCAACGGCAACAAAAAAAGAACAAAGGAAGGAGGCCACATTTCAACTCTAAAAAAAGCATATTACTGAGAAAAGGGCAAAATTCTCTTGTGTTCAATGCTTATTTCACCTTTGTTGTGAGCTACACCCGTTCTGTGGACACCCAACGACAACAACAAAACTTGGTCAGGCTAACTGGGCCGAAAAAGAATTCTGTCCTAAGAGACTGGGCAATCGTTTAAGTGCTCGTAACAGCTAAATGTAGAAAACTTGTCACTCAGCTGCTGTATCTCTCAGCTGTATTCTTACTCAGTTAAGTAAATGTTAATAGGGCATAAGTGAGTCCTGCTGTGTAAGAGGAGACTACAAAGATACAGGCAGCATAAATATGTAGCTGAACTTTGGCTTGAGAGTTTACTTCATGAAGGATCATTAGTGGCAAATGTTCCCATGTTAAATGTGTAGCACTCAGACATGCTGTATTAGAAGCTGGATTGGAGTTCTATGCTGATGGAATATGCTGCCAAGGGAGCCTTTCCATTTACCAACAGCCCAGCAGGTCCAGTGGAAGTTTTTTTTTTGAAGTGTTACTAATTTAAGATGATTTAAAATCCCCTCCCAGTATGCCCTAACCACTACCAGCTGTGTGACATAATGAGGAAAGATGCCTGGAAAATGGGAGAGTGGTAGTTTGTAATTCATCTCAGCTACGGCTCATTTGGTTATGCTGCTTCATGTTAAGCAACAGATAATTTATTGCTCTCCACTGCTTTGCTGTCTTCGTAGGTTGCCGTGCCACTTAGCATATTTTATTAGCCTCACTGATGATCACAAATACTGACATCCACTTTGCATACATGTACAGCAAAGCTGTGTCTCTCTATTATTTATGTCTACAGCATAAATGTGGCTACTGTACAAACTCAAATAAAAAGCAGAAGAGAGTAGTTTCTGTAGTTTGTCACCAGTGAAGGAATTATCCCTTTTCACAACATCTTTCTTAGATTTTTTTCTTCTATTTATTCTACATCTCCTGTGCTGTGATCCTAGGATTTCTCATTTTCCTTTCCTTGGACCATAACTCATTAGAATTATGCTGGTTTGTTTCCGTAGAAATGTCATCACGTTTCTCAAACCTGAACAATCAGGCCCGTTATCCATGGTTTGACAGACAATTTTCTTGGCTGATTTTTATTTTGGCTTGGTTTTGTCGGGGAAGATGGGTAACTGAGATGGGTGCAGGAGGTATATTTCCCATATTTCTGAGACACTTGAAGAAAGAAAAGGCATCTCTTTTGAAATACTGCACATATGACCGGTTTGAAGGGCAAGTGCAAAAGTCAGTCTCAAAAGATTCAAGAAGAGCGAGGGGAATAATTTAAGAGAAAAATGAAGTATTTCAGTAATTGGGTATATATTTTTGCAATTAATTTTTAACATTTGGTAACAAAGATTGTTTTTCTTCTACTATTGTGTATTCAGTGATATTTATTTTTATGCCTGCCCTTTGCAGAATGTGCTTCTAACAATTCCTTTTTTTTAATGAAGTGAGGCGTACATCAAAGGAAACTCTACAGTGAGTCTCTCTCACACACACACACACGTCTCACACACAAATGGATGAATGGGAATTCAGATGCAAGAGGAATAAAAGCATTAGAATTTCTTAAT